GAGACCTCCGGATAATTGGCGCTATAACTTCCGGGTATAGCGGATCTCTGCCCGGATCGACTTTCCTTGCTCCGCAACTCGTGGGTTTAAAATATGAACCAGAATAATAAAAATACTATACAAAAATCAAGCTCGGTTAAACCAAGTTCTTCTGGAACTGCTAGTTCCAAGATACCTACCGCAACTTTTAGCGGTAATAACAGGGTACATTCTAATAAATCAAAAATCTCCACGAGTTCTGGTCCCTCTGTGAGGTCGGGTCCTCCATCTAGGAGAATGTACAAAGAACGGCGAGCGGTGCTTAGACTGCTCAAGAAATATTGTAATGTCTCGGTTACGTCCGAGTCACTAAAGGCAAGATAAGCCTGGCCAAAATAGGTCCTTAATACTTCTAAGGAAAAGAAAAAGTAACCTGTATCGAAGCGTCAGCGCTCATTAGATGAGTCAGCTTCGAAGCCAGTATCAGGCTGGCAAAATTTCGTGGCAACACCACCACTACTAAGTCCTTTAGCGACACGCTGAAGTGCTCCATTTTGATGGCGGTCATTGATGAAAATGATCCAGATGGCACATAACTCCTGAAAAATGGGATCAAATTGAGCGAAAGCTCCTTGATTTGTAAGTCGAAATCCTTAAGAAATTTTCTGGTACAATTCCCAAATGTCGCGACGGTGGATGGTTTCAGGGCCATGTGAAGCTAGTCGCTTGCGTCGATCAGCGTTCTGTTGATCTCTTTCGCATTGCCATCTCCAGAATGGGTGAGGTCTGGCCAGGCGCAAAGCTTGAAGTCGTTGCTAAAAGTCGAGGAAATTCCTAGCCGATATAGAGCGCGTTTCTGGATCCAGCCGAACCATCCGATCCTCAGTGCATTCTTGATCAAACTCGGGTCGGAAACCCTGATGTGAATACGGCTACGTGGAACGTCACTAAGCTGGAAGGCTTTGTGATCGACAAAGCCTCGCTGGCCATTCTGGCGCGATCTGGTGGCGTATTAAATTACGGTTTCTTCCCATAAAAATGAGGGTATATAAAAGAGATGGAAGAGTAATACTCGTTTGATGTAAGGGAATCAGTGGCAATTTCTGAACAAACTGCTGATCCCCTATCGGAAGTAGGCAACATTAAGCCTGTTTCCATGACCGAAGTGAGACCGGTTATACCATCTGAAGATTTACCTGTGTGCATGGACACTTCGGTGCTTGCTCCTTCGCCAGCTCACTCAATCACATCAGAGGAGAGCATAGGCATGCGCTATCTTTACGATGAAGAGGAATTCCTAATGAGTAATGACTCTAGGCATGCGCTATCTTTACGATGAAGAGGAATTCCTAATGAGTAATGACTCTAAGGAGAATAGTACTCTAGACGTCACTGTGGTGGAGAGAAATGTATCCACACATACTGAAGATGTGGGTAGAGCAAATTTACCTGCATAATACCAAGGCTGCATCCGCCAATCCACTGCAACGCCTCAGCAACAACGAGGCCGATATGATCCTGATACAAGAACCATGGATTTATAAGGATCTTGTATGCGGAATCAGTGCTAAAAACTACAACTTATTATATGCGGTGAATAAGGGCAAGCCTAGGTCCTGCATATTGGTTAATAAAAAATTAATGCTCTCGTACTTTCGCAATACAGTGATGGTGACCAAACCGTAGCAAGTATCAAGGGCTCCTGGGGACAAATATAGGCAGTATCTGCATATCTGCACATGACCACGCCACACTACCTTCGAATATCCTGATACAGCCAACAAACAGCGCCAGGAGGCTTGAAGTGGAGCTTTTGATAGGCTGCGATGCCAACGCTCATCATGAGGTTTGGGGCAGCTCAAATGCTAATGAAAGAGGTGAGTTACGTTTTGATTTTATTTTTAGTAACAATCTTTTTAACTGCAATGATGGCAATAGGCCAACTTTTATTACGAAAAACAGGCATGAAGTATTAGATGTTACTCTTGCTACTGCTAGGCTTCATGAATCGGTCAAGAACTGGAAAGTGTCCACTCAGCGCTTGTTCTCATACCATATGATTTTAGAATGCACCTAAATCTTAGATGAATCGAACATCTACAAACAGAAGACGTTTAGAAATGTTAAAAATGCAAACTGGACGAATGATAAAGCAGCGCTAAATGAGCTGCTATTAAGCATTTCCTCCGATCCCCCTGGGAACACTGTTCATCTAGACAATCAAATCCAAGATCTCACCTTAGTGCTCAATGAAGCTTTTAATTGTGTCTGTCCCCCTACTCGACCTAGTAGGAAATGCAACCCACCTTGGTGGAATAAGCACTTAGGTCTTTTACGAAAGGAGTGTAGGAGACTTTTCAATAGGGCAAAATTAAGCAATAGTGAGAGTGATAGGCTAGAATACAAGAGCTCTCTGAAGCTTCCAATACGGCAAAACCTTATCAAACATCGAACATGCCTTATTTTTCGCATAAGTCAGATTATAAGTTTAATAAATTAGAATATCAGTAATAGCTTAGTCTTATTCGTTTGGGCAGCTGCGTGGTTAGATATAAAATGTAAAGAAAATAATAACTCTCCATACTTGGATGGTTGATTGGGTAGGGAAAGGGTGGACAATTTCGAATATTATAAGTAAATTGCGATTGGTATATCTTATACTATGATATTTAATAGTATTTATATTTCTGATAGTTTGAACAATATATTACGGTAATAGACCATTGTGCACTTCATTTATGTTGAGTTACAAATTGTAACTGTCGTCACTTTTAAACATGAAGAAAGGTGCGAAAATTACCAATTCGTTTTATCAATTTTGAGATGATATTGAGCGATAGGTTAATATTATTATATCAATGTTTTGTTATTTTATTTCATTATTTGGACCTTAAACTGAATAAAAAAAGTTAAACTGTATTAATTGTATGTATATAAATAATTGTATTTCTTTTTTAGAAAAATGATTGATTTGATAGGTTTTTGCCAACTTTTGGAGGACATGCACGAGCGGAAGATATCAATTGATAATTTTTATTTTTTTATGGTTTTCTACTCTATACTAGAGGAAATTTTTGCGCACTATAGCGTTTCGAAAAAAAAAATTTATTTTTCGAACCACTCTAATGTATGCCTTTAAGGAAGAGGCAATTAGACTCTGTAAAGTGGGGTCAATACTACTTTTCATTGGCGCAACAGGGCTTAGAGACCTACTCGAAACCCAGAAGGGGGCACAATAGACCCGACGGTCGCAGTGCCAAATCCCGTAACAATAATAATAACAGTTAGTTATCTTTCCAATTCTTTTTTATTTAGTTTTGCATGGATAAAGCTGATTGACGACAAAAATTATTTTGCAACTTACCTCCAACAACAATAACATGTTTTATTGCTACGTATAATTACATTGATTTTCATGTCAAGCAATCACATACAGTCAAGAATGAGTTTACACATCAAAAAAAAATTCATTTGTTTAACTTATAATAGAAAAAATACTGCCTTTTGTTTATATATAAAGATTTTTTATAATCAATTTGTAATAAATATTATATCACATAGGAATGGAAACAAACAAAATTTCAGCAGTTGTGAAAAAAAAAGAATATTCATACAACATAAACAAATCTTACATCATTTGTGACTTCCAAGTAATTATTTAAACCAATTATATAAAGCTGTTTAATATGAACTTTATTTGATGGGTACTTACAGCGTTTTTTTATAAAATTAACGAACTTTTGCATAAAACTATTGGTATCAAATTTCACTTTTGAAGTATTTAAGTATTAAGTGAAGAATGGGTATTTTCAGAGCTTCTGACGTACTTATTTTATAAATTAATCTTATTTTAGAAATAACTTAATTTGAAATATTGCGTTAGAATATGTACCGTTTTCTTGAGGTTTCGAACAACCCATTCCCTAACCATATTTACTGTGTGCTTTGAGTTATTATGGTGTTGAAATTTAATATGTGGCGTTTGCTTTTAATACCTCAAATATATTCACATTTCTTATCAAAAAACACACAAACTTAAATATTACATTTTGTCTGAAACATCTCTA